AGGGCTCGGCACTGTGGAGTAAAAGTTGCGGGTCTTTCGCATGAGACCTTTTACCAAGCTCCCGTGTCACGGTAGGCGTTAGCACCCTCACTGCTCAATGGCCCTGAGTGCCGAGTAGAAGTCTAAATTTGAAGCCCTTCACCGGTATACGGTGACGTCTCTTTATGAGTGAAAAATTCTCGAACGGGACGTAAAGCAACACACAATCAATCAATCAATCAATCAATCAACTAAACAGTGCCCTGTGCAGTTATTGAGATGTTAAATAAATATTTTATCTATATACTCCCGAAAAGTAAAACTCTGATTCCCTATTTTAGCCCATTCCCCGGAAGGCATGATTTAAACAAACTTGAATCTGTTACTCCCTGAGGTTGCTTGCATATTAACATGACATCATACATCTGCTGTTCTCAATCAGATTATTTCCTATATATATTACAATGTATAATTTGATTGTCTGTTGTGTTTTCACCTTACCAAATCTGCACTAGTTCTAGTATCTTGGCATTTTTAAAGATATGATATGACTAATCTTGACCCTGGTGTACTCAGAATTTTCCCCCATATAGATATATCTATTTAAAATTTTGATTCCCATTCTACAACCATGATTTGAACAAACTTGAATCAATTAAGAAAAGCTTTCACATAATTTCATCTTTTCTGATCCTGTGGTTCTTAATTTGAAAGAAGATATTTTTAGAAATGATACCACCATATATTTGTTATTTCTCGATTATTTTCCTTTTGAAAGAGGATGTGGTTCTTGATTGGATACACTTGTGTTCACTTTACCAACGATGCTTTGTGATTGTTTGGTTGAAAGTGGTTCCGGAGAAGAAACCAAACGTCTTAAAAAGACAGCAGTCGAAAGTCAAACGACAGACAAACCCACTTTAAATAGCCTTTGGGTCAGGTGAGCTAAAAACTCCAATTTACAAAACAGTTCCACTGACGAAAGAATTAGACCATGACAAATTGGCATGTTTTGGAATCCACTACAAATGTGTTTGTTGATATTAAGAACGATAAATAAATATGATAAAAACACGCAATGGTAAAAAGCAAAAAAAAAAACAAACTACTGTAAGTACACAAAACTATCTGAATTTTGGATACGAGTCAAATTTGACACAAATGTTACATAACATCAACGTTATATACACAGAATCGGGTACCTGTAAGGGATATTTAAGAGCTGTATTTTTAGTTATAAAAGATCATAAGGTTTAGGAATTTCTTTCAAACTTAAAAAAATAAAGCACCTTATTAATAGATATGCAGAAATTAAATGCATATACAAGTATTTTAAAAATAGAATTGTTTTTGTTTTGCCGTTTTACCCCGCCTTTCTCCTTAAAACTCTCAGAGATAGAAAACCCGAACACCGAATTGATCATGAATTGAAATGAATATTTTTTTTGTTAAAAGCAATCAATTCATGTGTTCAACGGAATGCCTTATATGGAACAAATCTGAACAATTGCATAATATGCTTGATAAAATCATACGTTCGCACATGCAATTTTCAGCATATATTCCTGATGATCTCTCATTGAAATCAAACGCTAGATCTTATCAAGCTTATAGTCGTACTTCACTTTCCGCTGTCTATAAATGTCCGTGCATGTTGTGACGGATGCCATGTAGGTTTTAAGAAATATAGTTTTCAAATTGTTGCTGTTCATGCAGTTTAATTTCTGGTTTTTGAACGAGTCTGAGATTTAGCCATCTAAATCTTTTTTGTTATTTCATTTTTCGGATTTCTCCCTTTCTTTCCTGTGCTCTAGTGAAATCTTGCCGGAATAAATGATGATAAAATTACACTCCAAGAACCCACAATTACCTCCGATTTCCTTTACAAAACGTCGCGATGCATACAGAATAACAATGCTAAACGTGATGAATATAAAGTCACTTGACAAATATTGTAGAACATTTTATTTCCCCCCCCCCCCAAAAAAAAAACGAAAATTGACAATATTTAACAATTATTACTAAATATACAAAATAAAAATAAAATAAACCAAATATTTGTAACTTAATTGAATAGTATCCATTTGAAGGTCAGATGCCCATATTATGATTACACCGTTGTTAACCAAACTTCAAGCTACTTCGGAACAAGAACAAATGATAGTAATTTTTATCAAATTAAAAAAAATTATCTTCCAATCAATGTGTACCCTATATGGAGTAGGATTTTCGTGAAAATATTTTAGCTCAGACGATTACGTGCATTTAATTTAGCGAGAAGGAAACATGTTCACAAATAAATTATCTTACATAACTTGATGCAGTAAAGGTAATGTTTCGACTGCCGGTATATTGAAATTAATATAAGTATAGAATTTCAGCAGAGTGAGCATAAAGACTAGGTGATATTAGAGTATGGTGTTCTGGAAATCACAACTTTAATGTTTCGCATTGCAGCTTGAAAGGAGACTCACCAATCCCCCACCCACCCCTTTCCCAAACTTTGACCAACGGACTGTTCCAGAAAAACTATTAGAATAAATATTTAAAACAGATTGAAACACTAATTCCTTTTTTTTAATTATTATTATTTGGGGTTTGTTTTTGGGAAGGGGGTGTTGGAGGTTGTTTGTATGTTTTTGCTTTTTTTTAATAGCTTTTTAACTTTACTCCTTTCCAGCCTCAATGCAACTCTTTAACTTAAAATCCTGAATCCGCCCTTGAAGTCCGAGTAATAAATGTGAAATAATTAATTATACAGTATTCTGGTTTTATGCAATGATAAATGGATTCTTTATATACTGAAACGCAAAAGAAACACAACATCCTATTTTAGGGGGAAAAATTATATACCAGGGTATAGGATAAAATTTTGTATCTAAAAAGTAAGGACATCTTCAACTTTGTAAATATCGGTAATTTAACGGTTGAATGATTTTCATACCAATACCGGAAGGTAAGTTTGAGTCCGCTTAACAGAAATCAAAAATTGAATGTGTAACAAAATATTTGGCAATAATTGCCTGACGCCACGTGCGTCAGGCAGTATAAGGATTAATTTTTTCAAGATTACTTTCAGATTCTCTGATTTGTTTGGGAAAGTTAAGGATTTGTTTAACGATGTATGTGTATAAACCCGCTGAACATCTAAATTCATTTTCGGCAAACGAACATCAAAAGACAGATGGATCATTGTTGTCAATGTGAATAGAAGAGATATTTTAGCACAAAAACATTGCTATACTTTTCATCCAAAATATGTTCGTGAAGGTTTACTTGTCAGTATATAGGCCGAAGTCTAGCTCTTTAGTTCTCTCCTTTTCTTCGTGTATAAGCAGATAAAAACCCAACCTACGTATGATGTATATCTGGAAATTACCACTGAACTACGATGATGAAATGTAAAAATAAAAAAAAATTATCGAATCTAAATTTCGTCCTGTGCTCGATATATTTCCGGCGTTTGAGATAATCTTTCAGACCATTTCCTATCAAAGTTTATGTTCAATTTTCAGTTGCATAAAAACTTTATTTTCAGCTTTAAAGAAAATCCTAGATCGGTCGAAAAATGGGTCAATATTGAGACTTGTTAATCATATTTTCTCCTCGAATGGGTTAAACATTCAGACTCCAGATTGGGTTTTAAATCACTCAGAAAGAATTGTAAAAGGCATGGACGAAATGGGCTTCAAATGCAATCGCTGCAAAGTGTTGTGTAATATGCGTGCAATATAATGTAAAATTGAAATCTGAGCAAAGGATTGTGGACTACAACGCTCGCCGAGGTGCCTTGTTCTTGAACTCTAGATTTGAAATAAATGTATGCGCATACTGGTACCAATTTATGACTTAAAATCGAATTTCGAAGTTCCTAAGAATTTCTAACGTACCTTTCTTGAACTTAAGAGCGTAAATGTGGCTTGACTCTACATGAAGTATGACGTATTTAATTAAACTAGGCGAAGGAAATAGTTTTTGAAATCTGTATTAGTAAAATATTTCATCACAAAATGTTTACACAAAATATTAATTAATTTTAAGCCCTTTAGATTAACTCAGTTCTTTAAAGTTTTCTTGATATATGTGGGATCAGAATTTAACAATTTATAAAATATAATTTCTATGATGGTCTTCAAATTTTCCAAGTCATGCGCGGATCCAACAAAATTTCCGAGGGGGGGGGGGGGATTGGACAAGCCGCTTTTCTTTCCTTAATATATATATATATATATATATATATATATATATATATATATATATATATATATATATATATATATATATATATATATATATATATATACATCCAAAAAGTAGCTTTGTTTTAAATAGTATAGCAGACACGTAACATCACGGGGGCCTGGCCCCCCACTTTTTTCCAAACATAACTTTTTACTTTTGAAAATGTTCATTTTTAATTTTGCTTCAATCCATACCTGAATCCATGCACCCTTCTTACACGAGTGATCTGCACAGGTATATAGATCATCGTTTAATTAAAAATACGTCAATTTCCAAGTAACATAAAAATGATGTCGATTTATTTCATTGAGTTCGGATAAATTCACAGACTCGCTTGATCCTTTAAAAATGATCATACGGTAAAATTATGTGCTGCCATTCAAAAATGGAATTCATCAAAACGCCAATGTTATGATTACAATTCCGATGTTCTGCACTTTTTTATTAACTCCCTTTAATAAGGGTTTGGTCCATTATGTGACTCGAAGATAATTTGTCTAGAGAATAATTTGAAGCTTACCCAATACTTCTCAAGAAGAGTTCAGTAGATATGAACAGAACAAACAAACGACAGACAAGCTTCTATTCGACAGACAAGCTTCCATTTAAAAAAATGTTTTACTTACCTTAATTGGCTCAGGTGAGCTAGAAATTTAGAACCCAATTAGGCACATAAAAACTACAGGTAATAACAGTAAAGTGGGAAAAAATTACGAAGATTCCAAAGTAATATACCCACCTTGTAAAATACATGCATAATAAATGCGCACTTTTAGGTCAGGTATGAATGACTCTGTTGTTGAATAATTTCCATTGAGAAAATAGTGTTCTATACCAGGAAGTTAAAATAACGATACCTGGAATATCACCTCGCTAGAATGGGAAACTGGCGCAATAGTTCCTCTCCGAAATGTTCATTATTAAACTGTGAAACAAAAACATTGAGGAAATGTGGGAATTACATAGGGAATATAGATAAAAGTGCTTTTATTCCCTTGAAATCATAATCTTGGAAATATCACATGGCAAAGAGATGTTTAAAATATACGTAAGTTATTCAAAATATGTCACTTATTAGTTCGTACGAAACATTAAAATCTCATATGATCATTCTGTATACAATACAGATGCCTCGGGAATCTATTTCGTAGCGTTGCATTTTTTTTTTACTTTAAAATATAAAAATTAATTTTAAAAAGCAAAGTTTATTAAACATGTGTCAATGAATTTCAAATTTTGATTTATTTTTCTTCTGCAAATCCTGGAATGATCGGTGTTTTTTTTTTTAAACTTGAAAATCTGTGCATTTATTCCATTTATTATTGTGTCAACTCTGTCGCGCATTTTATCTTATCTTGTGACCTCCAAGTTCAATTCCATGTATAAGGCATATTTCCGTTCATAATCAGCATAAGCTGCAATAATGTAGACCTCTCCAATTTCAAAAATTCTGATGTTTTCAGGAGAGGCAAAAGAGGAGAATGCTACATTATGGGAGTTAAATTTAATTATTTTATTAAAAATTTGCCTTTACAGACTAATAAAAATATTTCTGCCGCTGTGCATAAATTTATTGATGAAACCTGTAGATTTTAATTGCTCTGTTACTGAACAGAATTTTCACTTGTATCACTTGTTAAATTTATTTTTCTATGTACTTTTAATATTTCTATTGCATGACATACTGTTATATTTAAGGAGAGGAACCAATAAGTTGTAAGAACTTGTTTCTGATCCTTTTGATTCCTTCAATAAAATATGTTCAAAACAAAACAATTATTTTTCCTGTTTTTATATGATACAAACATTTCTCTTTTTTTATTTTAGATTCAACCGCTATTAATTCTCGGTATGTTTGTGGATCTTTCCTTGTCTCAATGTCCCAGTCCTATCCGAGCTAAAGTTAAAGGCTATCGAAGAAAACTGACTATTCTAGGATCTTGTAATGAGAATCTGGACATGTCTTTCCATATGATACCCGATATAAAAATTCCCCACTGTAACAAGTGTGAAAGCCTCACAGATACTAAAGTTCATTATCTCCATGGCAACAAGACATGTTCTTTGACTCCTCCCACTGACGGACGGAGTACGGAGAGTTGCCCCCATCATCTTCAGATAAACTATGATAGGTATAGAATACCTAGATCTATAGCTCAAGTCAAGTGTAACTGTGATAATTGTATCACAAAACATTACGATAATACGTTAAGAATGCTTGATGACGGAGTGTGTCAAGAAGTGATGATGTATCGTCAGGTTCTTAGGGAATGTAAACGTGAAAGAGACCGAAAAAGAAAAAAGAGAAGAAGAAGTAGAAGAAATAAAGTGTATACAATAGTTTATGAAAAATACCCGGTGGCATGTACGTGTAAATTGACACATACTAAAGACGGGAGATGAGCAGTGAAATCAAAGCATTACGAAGTTTTGTCTCTTACAAATACCTCAAGATTTTTATTGTTATTGGATTTTATATACAGTTTACTTGTGTGTTGTTTGTTAATGATGTTTTTGATATAAATATATTTTTTTACGATTTCAGTATTATAGTGAGTAAAACTTGTGTCAATTGATGGATTTATGCGACACATTTTGTATGTAAAATAGTGGACCAGTCCAAAAGTCTATTTTGAAATGATTCATTGAAACTTTTTTTTATAGTGAAGTATCACATAAAACAGAAAAAACAAATCTTGTCACTTTGCTGAAATATACATGTGTAGACGTGTATGTCCAAAACATACCCGGTTAACTATAAATATTAATTTTCTACGGAATACACTTACAGACAATTCATAATTTACTATTTTATTAATTATTTAACACATTCATTAAGTTAGTAGACGATATGAAAAATTGCTTTATTACGTCCCTACAAATGGTGTCAGCAACTTTTACTTTTAGGAGGTCATTTCATAGAATTTCAAAATTGACCAATTTTTTCGACAGAATATTGCGAAGCGCGTTTTAATCGCTGTAATTTCATTTTCTATACTTTAAGTCATTTACATTTATTTCAAATATCTACAATACATAAAGGTTTTGGTCAGCGTAAATAATGTATATTGCCAAGATGTCATCATATCTATGCACTCCATATTGCTTTTGGTCATAAATATCTCGCCAAGTCGCCAAAGTTTTATCAACAGTCACATAAATTTCAGGCAGCCAACTTTAGTCAATATAACTTGTCACCTAAAAGTGATAATTTAAACTAGTCTTTTCAAGAGTTTAATGAATTAACCGACTCTGCGATCAACATATATTTTTGCAAAGTGTTTTCATGTGTTTTGGGTTTTCTGTATCTACACAATGTCTTGCAATGTTTAAATAAATAAATAAAAATAAAGGGGAATGAAGGGGGGATAGTCTCAAGATAATGTTTTAATCGATTTATTAAAAATATACTGAAACATTAACAATGATACTTGATGTATTTAGGAAAAACAAAGTATATTTTTATTAGTATAGTACATATAATTATAGAAATGATCGTAATTACCTAATTTAAAGAGTGAAGAGCTGACAAAATGTCCCTGGAATTTCTGTTTTTATATTATATACCCCCAAAAATTTATGATTTAAATATCATTATCTTTGATAATTTCAATTGTTTTCAAAATGCTTAAAAAAGAATAAAATAAAAAAAGAACAACAAAATTGTGATTTTGGCAATTTAGTTTATAGTTCCAATAGGATTATACATAGGAAGTATCATCCAATGGAATCTTGCACAAATGCCCGCAGGTAATGAACCTTGGTTTTGTTTTTGTTTTGTTATGAAACTTATGGTTACAGTTGCAGTCTTTCAATTATAAATTCTACGGAAAATTATTAAGAATATGAAGAAAATGCTGTCTGACCTTGATGCTAAAGAAAGAAATCCTTATTCAAAACACTTGACCTCAAAGACCCAGGACTCTTGACCACTATTTTTTTTTTAAATCTACTTGTAAATCTGGCATTTCCTGTACGCAATGACCAAACATTTGGAAAAGTGTCAATATTTGAAAAAAAAAATATTTATAGCTATTTTGACAAAAAGTTATCGGGATCTTACTGTTTTGGGTCAATACTATTAATTCTTGTCGAGATATGAGATTGTTCCATTAGGTCGAGATAAGCTACGAAGACTTTTCGTGTAATTATTTTAATGATGTGGTAACTTAAGTGCAAGTTGACAAATTCTGAAATATATACTGTAGATTCCTTAATTTTTGCGAGTACTTATTATTTAGTATGTTGACAAACTAAGCTAACTTATAATTATGTTGATCAAAGTTTTGAGGATGGCAGAAATATTATTTCTTGTAATTCATATGCAGCTACCCTTTGTGTATGTGACTTTATTTACGACTTGTGTTTAATGACAGAAATTTAACAAAATTATTACAGACATTGTAAATTGCAGACATATACCACAGAAACCAAGGTCCAGGTGAGCTAAACTTCTTCAAAGATGATTTAAATCAATTAAGTATCATACACACAATAAGATGATTATATCCTATAGTCGGAATGTCTAGGTATACTCTTATTCAGAATGTAAAAAAAAGACTGCAATTAAGTCATAACGGCTGCACTATTCCACTGTGTAGATATTTAACCTTATTGAGGAGATCGGCTTTTGATCAAGTCTTTCGATTTTAGGAATAGCAATAATAATTGGGTAATGTCACACCAGGTGCCAGACGCTTGGGTTGATTTACATTTTATTCTCCACTAGGAGCAACAGATATATATCGAATTTAGTATCCAGTCGCACCTGCAAAATATGACATATCTCAGCAGGTACCTGTAATAAAATATTTACGCTGTGTCAACACATGTAGCTAGGACACTTGGCATTGAATGATATAGAAGTCCCTGACAATTACAGTACCTGTATCTGGGCATAAAGCAGTTTGCCTCAGCTTTTAACAATATCTTTCGATTCAGATATTGTAGTGATGGCATACTGAGGTAACTTAACAATTTATTCATCCCTAGATTTTAAAAAAAGCAGGCTTTTCAGCATTTAAGATTTAGGGATATAAACGACTGAGTTTTGGTTTTTGTCCCCCGCTTTCATATATCAATTTATTATATTAATAATATAAGGATATTAATTTGGGTCTGTCTGTCATTCAGTCTGTGTGTTCAGGACGATAGCTCCAAAAGGCTTTGAGCTTTTGCGATGCAATTTCATATCATTACTCCCTTTGGCCTAAAGAAGACCTGCATTAATTTCTAGGTCAGAGGTCAAAGATCAAGGTCATTAATTCATACATTTTTGTCAGTGTAACACTTTTATTTCCGAGCAATATTTTAAGAAGCCTTTGAAATTTTGCAATTAAATCTTATATAGCAACTCCTTAGGGCATAAAAAAAACCCTATTGATTTAAAACACTTCTTAAGGCCTAAAGAGAAGACCCTATTGATTTTGAAGTCAAAAGGCCAAGGTCAAATATTATTATCGAGATAACTTTAGTTTATTTTAGCTTTTTCAATAAAATTTAAATCACAACTCCCTATAGCCTAAGAATACCCCTATTGATTTTTGTCTGTGTGTAACACTTTCTTTTTCAGATGATATCTTATTAAGCTTTGAGGTTTTGCAAAGAAATTTTATATCACAACTCCTTATGGCCTAAAGAAGACCTGTATTGATGTTGAGGTCAAAAGATTAAAGGTCAAGGTCAGAAATCCATACATTGCAATTATCATTTTCCAGATGATAACGTTAGTCTTTGAGCTTTTATTCAAAAACAAAATTTAAAATCACAAACCCCCATGGCCTAAAGAAAACCCGATTGATTCTGAGGTCAAAAGATCAAAGGTCATGGTCATAAATTTATACATTCTGTCTGTGTTAAGTTTTCGATGATATCTTAAAAAGCCTATGAGCTTTTATATCACATGTCCTTATGGCCTAAGAAAGGTCCCAATAGCTTTTGAGGTCAAAAGGTCAAAGGTCGTGGTAAGAAAAATCATACATTGCAAATAGCAGTTTCCAAATAAATAGTTTTCTTTAAGCTTCTTTCAATGAAATTTTATATCACAACTCCATATGACCCAAAAAAGACACTTTTGATTTTGAGGTCAAAAGGTCAAGGTCAGAAATTCATACAATGCAAAAAATGTTTCCAGAAAATAACTTTAATTTTCTTTGAGCCTTTTCAATGAAATATAATTATATCCTAACTCTCAATGACCTAAAGAAGACCCCTTTTGATTCTTAGATCAAAACGTCAAGGTGAAAAAATCTTATCTTGTATAAAATGGTTTCCTTATGATAACTCTAATTCTCTTTGATGTTTTGCAATGAAATTTTATACCTTTAGTCAATGTAACGTTAAAAAAACCCTATTGATTTTGAGGTCAAAAGGTCAAAGACCAAGGTCAAAATTTATATATTGAAAACATAGTTTTCAGATGATAACTTTAGTTCTCTGTAACCTTTGCAATGAAACTTAAGGTCATGAATTTCTATAACCTAAAAAAGAGACATATTGACTTTAAGTCAAAAAGCTGAAAGGTCAAGGTTGCCTTTTTTAAATTTCTGCATCTGCATAATTATTTTTTCCAGTTTTTCCACCGTATTCTCTTTTCCTTAAGCGGGGGACAAAAATTCTCTGAATTAGCTTGTTAAATATAAGTTCGATTTAATATATATTAATAAACCAATCAAGGTTTGTGGATATAAAATAAGGGGAACTGTGTTTAATCTGAATTTAAGGCATTATAATATATTAACAAATGCTTCGTTATTAGGTCACCTGAGTTGCTCAGGTAACCAATTGCTATCAAGGACCATCCGATGTCAAAAGTACTATTTAAAAAATACTAGCAATTATTTAGGAGCCACCTCTATCCAAGAAGTTAAGACTTCATCAGGGACCAATATACGTCCCTCACTCTGTTTAAGTCGTAGGCAGTACTATATATAGTTATTATATTTGAAAAATTGTCTTCTTTATTAGCAAATATCTTAAAGACAAAATAGATGGATAACAGGCAAACAAGGGTGATTTCAACATTAACTGTAAAATTTATGACCCATGCATGCCTGACAGTTCAGGACACAGGGTGATACTATAATTTTTTTCCCTCTATGAAAAAGAAAACTACCCTGAGAGACAAACTAAGTGCATAGCAATAACAAGCAATGGGGATCTCAACATAAATTGTGAATAATATGAACTCTACTCCATGTACTCAGGAGGTCAGACCACAGGGTGGAAATTGCATATCTTCTTTAAAATTCTTCCTTTCCAAGAAACACAATTTTAATGCTAGCATTCATCTTGAAGATGGACTAAAATTGTGCAAGATAAATGACATCTGCCCAAGTGGTCAGGTGTCAAATGCATTTAATTTTTATCAAACTTCTCCTTTTTACTAGCAAGCACCTAAGAAGCAAACAGGTTGCATAGTTACCGATTTAACAGCCACAGCAAGCAAAAGTCACTCGACTTAAGAATTCCATGACCCTGTTATAGGAGTTCAGACTTCGAGCAGCATATAAAATGTAAATTATCTTCAATCGTCTTTACTGACAGACTTCTTGGAGACAGAGGATTACCTGAATATTACTATTGATTCAAGCCTGTACTTACAACATACCAAAGGTAAGAAAATAGAGGCTACAGTAATTCAGGTGACCGTTAAACTTTTGTCATACCTTACCGGATAGCAAATAATTTATTACTAGGTAGGCAAGTAGCATCGTTTTTGGGAAAAAAAGGGTGGGGCAACCAAAAAAAATATTTGACAACTTACCTGAAAGTTTCTTGACCCGGGTTGAAATTTGACCTGGGGTTCATTTTTCAACGTTGAATATTGAACATTTTCAATGTTAAAATTTGATAACAAATGTGCCCAAATTTATACCCGGGGTCATTTTCAACAGCTTGGTTATTTTTTTTCCTCGGCATTTATGACATTATCGCGTTGAAAATTGGCCCTGTTGAGTATTGGCTCCTAACTATAGCGTTTTGCCCTATGTTCAATTTGGAAATTGTTATACACAATTTATTTGTACATATGTACATGTATCTACTAACATATTTATCAGTATTATATTTTGAATTCCTTCCAGAAGAATAATAAGACCGAACTGAAATCAGAAATCCAATAGCATCCCGAACATACTTGTAAATTAGTTGTTGTTCGGTACACGGTATATCTTACTTCATGGTCATCTATGACAAAAGTTATTAAAGGTGAACTACAAAAATGACCACCTACAGGACCCCTTTATCGTCTCCCCCTCCTTTCAGGTGTCCATAATGATATACAGCTTACTGTAAACCGGTGCCTAGGAAAGTTTTGGATTGGTTTGTATTTTTTTTCTCTCCAAAATTGGGACAAAACTTGGTACCGGTGTTGTAGAGAATGTTTTTCCCCATAGCCAGCTTCCCCCTCAGAATCTGTACTCTAGAGTAGGACTCCCCCTCCCCTAGGGGAAATCCCACACTACGGCCAAATTCCCCCCTCTTTCTTTCTCATAGTAGGATTCTCCCTCTTTAATCAACGCTAAAATCAATTGGGAGATATTCTGGCTAAAAGTTTACATCAG